TCAACATCTTCTGAAGTCCAGTTTAATTGCCTGATATTTGTCTTCTTTGGAAAATTTATTATTTCCCTGCTAATAATGTCTTTTAAAGAAAAAATACATAAACTCATTATCTTTTTTTTTTTAATTACAGAAATCTATCATGAGGACTCTTTCACTTATATCGAATTTTAAAGACAAGACTTGTAAATAATGAGAATAGAAATATACTGATGCAGTGTTTCATAAGGGTGTTTATCTTCTGGGAAATGTTAAAAAGACCACAATCTAAAATGGCTTTCAGCTCTGCTGTCTAAAGTAAAATAAATGTTATAGGAAACTTCCAAAGATAATATGCTATAAAATTTGGGCCATTATAATTTATTCCTGCATTTACACTTCAGTCTTACTGATGTTTGATTAAGTTCAGCTGGCTAACATCAACTTTAGTACTATCTTATTTAGGTTTATTGTTTTACATATTGTAAATTTTTATTCTTTTGAGAACACACAATAAGTTTCTACTGGCAGCTCTTAAAAGAAGTAATTTGTAGAGCTACAAAGGTATAAGTATTTCCTCAGAATTCCTCCCTCATATGTGTAGTGCTAACCTAGCTACAGCTCTTAACCTCCCATTTTCTACCCTTCAACAACAGTGAGGGCAGAAGCTACATTGGAAGTGTTTTCAGTGGAAGTTAAATGGCAGAAGATCAAAGCTGGCATTAGAAAGGAAAATCAGAGATTAAAATTCCAATGCGGTGTTGTCATCCTGGTGTAGAGGTTAGACAGATAAGTGCTGTTGAGAACAACTGTTCATATGCTCACGTGTAAAAACCATCCGAACACCAATTCTTTAAAAAAAGATCACCAAACTCAACATCATCTCCTGAAGACAAAGGGGAGGATACTCAGCCTTTTAGATGAAGTGTTTAGGGAGGATGAATTAGCCTTTTTTTCTCTTCTCAAAACAGGACAACTGAGAAGATACAATGGTTTTCTCATGCCTTTGTAAGCCAATTCAGCTTGGTAAACCTGAAGAAGCCTGCTCCTTTTAGGTAGGTATTTTTGGGTTTTTTTGCCAAACTAGCAAACTGAATTGACTCAGTCAGATAAGCACCTAGGTTAAGAGGAAGGAAGTGGAAGGAGCTTGAAGTCCAATTGGGGACTGGGGACTGATGGAGCTGGCTGTTAGACACTCAGACTTGCCTCTGCCATGTTCAGCATCAGACTAAAGCCAGTGGGGGGACACAGGTCCTTCCTGAGGATAACACTTTTGTTTGCACAGTAATTTCAAGACCAACAATCCAAACAGACTTCTAAATGCTACAGAGAAAAAAAACCAAAACAAACAAGGGGTCAGAGAGGGGGAAGGGACAGAGGAAAAAACCAGCAGGTTTGTTCAGGTGATAAAAGGAAAGCTACTGACACTGTCATGTGGATAACACAGCAGCACAAAATAAAAGCATGTAAACCGAAAGTTCTCTTTAATTTGTTGTCTTCGAACTAAAATCACTAAAAATCACTGCAATATTGCCCTCTCTCCCACAAAAAAAAAGGACAAAACGGAATTATTGTCTGTGTTACAGTGATCCATTGAAAAATCAAAGATTGAAAAAAATGAATATACAGGTAACAATTTCCCTGAAAATAATTTCAATTTAAGTACTAGCATTGGCCCAAATTTTTTATTGTCCCAAACAAAGCAAGCTCTATCACTCTGCCAATGCAACATTTCAAATTCAATCAAGAAAACCACCTGAGCTAAATTAGATCAATGTCCACTTTGCTGAATTTTTTGAATAAAATCCAGTCTGCTTTGATCTCAGTAAAACCAATAACCAGCTCAAATCCACACCCATGCCAGTGACTACTGATCTCATATTACAGGTCTTTCTTCCAGTGTTATAATCCGAAAGGAAAATGGGCAGAAGATGAAAGTATGCACATGACTGCCTGCTTAAACTGCCTTGGCTTCTCTTGCTAGAGGTGACAAAGAAGCAGATTTGGTACTGTACAAGCTGCCACAGAACGCCCATGCACTTTCAAAGGTAATGGGAAGAATTACTTTCCTTCTCATGTCTCTCTCTTATTAACAGTTTATCCAGCATGTTGCTTGGCCTGAGCAAAAGATTTTTTAGCATAAAAATGAATTTATTGTTTAGCATTCTGAAACAGAATTTTTAGATAGAGACTTCCATAAATTGAGTAAATGTGTCTGTGGCTCAGGCACAGGCCATAACTAAACATCTGCAATTGCCTAAAGGCAATACCTTTATTCTTCTACCACAATTTGTTTCTGGGGATTTTTGTGTGTGTGGTTTTTTTTTTGGGGGAGGAGGTTTTTTGGGGTTTTTTTTGGGTTTTTTTTTTTTTTTTGTTTTGTTTTTGTTGGGGTTTTTTTTTGTTGCTTTTGTTTTGTTTTTGTTTTGTTTTTTTTTTTGCTATTTTTGTATTCTCATGGTGATGTACTTTGTATATTTACTTTGGAAGGTAATCATTATCTATATAATTTATCAAGGTTGCTCTAATAAAAAAAATCACTTTAATTTCTTTTATAATCTGTATTTTTTTTTATACTAGATTATATTACTTTTTGTACTAGATATTATAATCTGGTAAAAATTAAATGAAACTTCAGTGTATTCAATTCCTAAAACCTATTAACATTTAGAACATAAATATTCACAGGAGTCCTTTTTAATAAATGACTTCTAATGATTGGAAGGAAGAAGTAATTATTACTGTTGGATATTTTTTCTTTTTCTGATCTGTACAATAATAGATATCACACTCACCTTTCTTTACTTTTAAAGAATTATCTCATACATATATGTATATCTATGAGATTCAATTCAACACTGTTAAACTTGAGCTGTTCATTACAGAAAGGGCCAAGAAAGAGCAAAATCCCCCAAGTGTAGATCTATAAATAAAAAGATCAAATGTCAAGCTTTAGGAAAATCCACTAAATTCCTGATTTAAAACATTCTTTTGCTTGTATTTCAATTTCAGATCATATGGAAAAAATACACATGGTGAAATTATTGAAATTAGATACAATAACACTTGATAAATGGAACGTAACATGTGCATAGTCTATTTGATATTTTAGATTGTGTTTCTAACATGAATAAAACTCAAATGTTGCAGACATTTAAATGTTCAGCACCCCACCAGTCAGAAGCAGAAGAGTTTCCAAATCCAAACTAACATTAGTTTATTAACTGAAGCATAAAATCAACAGGTTTTTCAGCCTCTTTTAGACAGCCCACAGCAGCTATGTGAGCCTCTCCTGATCTCCCTGTGCAGATCACAGCGCAGCCTCATTCAGAAGACAAGTACATCACACACGGTGTGGCTGATGAGTCATTTCTGTTTCTCAGCCTGCTCTCACTCGGAGTTTGATATTACGTACCATATGGCCACAGCCTTCATAAATATGGTTTCAAGGAAGTCATCTGATGGCAGAATGGAAATGGCTTTGTAAAGCAGCAAAGCTGTTAATTGATGGGTGGAAGAGCTGAAAGTGATGGTTCTGTAACAGGAAAATCTTGTATGATCCTGGTCTAAGCACTTATTATGGCAGCATGAAAATGTACTTATTTCTCTTACTGGTGTAGACACTTTAACAGCAAACACATTCTATAATAATGATGCATTTTTCATTTTTTCCCATTATTCAATCATTTTCTGCCCACAAGAATGAAGTGATTTTTTGCCAGCAGACCTACTTTTTCACATAGCCTTCCATTTATTCTACCTTGTGTTGGACTTTCCAGCAGTTGCTCCTTATTAATCTTGATTGTAAACTCTCCTCTTCCTGCATTTCCTGTCCAAAGTTTGTGCTCCTCTAGTATTATGCACAGGCTCCTACTTTGTCAACTTTTATGGAAAAATCAATCTTCTTTTTTCATAAAGCACCTAAACCTTTTTTATGGCTTTCCAGTTCAGGTTTTCCTAACAGACATTCAAAGTCTGAGAGGAACATTCAACACAGCAGACTTTTGACACGGAAATCTAAGTATTTTTCTAGTTTATTTTTTGGTGAATAAGGAAAATTGTGTCTCTGCCCACAGGGAAATTGGAACTAGATGACCTTTAAGGTCCACTTCCATCCCTTAACAATCGTGATAGGTTCTCTGACTTCTCTGAGGAGTAATTAAGAAAAGTTGAACACTGGGGGTCTTAGGTTGGTCCTTACAAGAGACTTTGTCTCAGTAGAATGAGAAAGGCATTTTGACAGTGTGGAGTGTGGGAGATATATCCATATAAGTCATGTTTGCCTGTCTGGAGGCACGTACAGTGTGGATGAGGAAAAGAAGGAAATGCCACAATTAATCTGAAATCTCTGTCTATGGAAGAAGACATGCAGAGACTCATGGTCATCTCAGAAGAAAAGCATGCAGACTAGATTCCCTGGCCTGAAAGTCAGTTTTCCAGAACAACCATTACAGACCATTTCTACTTCTAAGGAAACAGGGAAAGTTCTTTTCTTGCTCCCTTAAGAGAACACCAAATCCTTCCACAGTACTCACTTAAACACAACTTGTCCAAACTGGAAATTTTGAACACAAAACAATAAAATAGCTCTCTTTGAACTCAACTGCATTGCTACTTATAATGTAGAAATTATAATTTCAGGGGTTAAGAAAAAACAAAACATGCCTGCTGTCACCTGGAAGTGTTTATACTGGGTTTTTTTACACCTGAGAGGCCATGAGGAGCAATTAAAACTCATTCATCAGTAGTCAACACAACGGCTAAAGGTTTAATCTTTGAGTAACAGAGCCCAAATTTCAGAGAAGGTGACCATGTATCTCTTGTCTAATAGTATCTCGTGTTGCAAAAAATCACCTACAAAAGATACAGAACACACCAAGGAGCCCTGAGCATGAAAGTACATAAATCTGGAAGTCTGTTTTGTCTTAGCCACCCAGCTGATCCTATCGTTACAGCTGAACCCACTGACTTTGGTTTATTACAAATTTTTATAAGTTTAAAGACTTTTGGTATAAGGACCTTACCCTTGCCTTCTGCTCCATTTCCATCATTAATCTTTCATGCTGCTCAGCTATTGCCAGTGTTGCAGAATGGACCTTCTGATATATCATTTCTCCTTCTCGAGTTTGAAAGGTGAACAGCCCTTCTCCTGTGTCACACATCCTGCAGGGAGATTTAAGCAGAACGGGAAGAAAAAAAATTAGTATTGTGTAATTTTTATCTAACTCTTATAAAAAGTGCATACCTTACAATAGCAAATGCCGACTTTAGAGATACAGTTAAACTCTGAAATTCCAAACACCAGACATCTGCAGTTATTTTTAGCATTGGAGAAAAACATATTCCAAGAGATGGGCAGAACTTCATTAACATATTTTTTAAATTCAGTTTTAATCATCATCTGGATAGTGAAAAACAAGCTTTAGCATGGAATAAAAACTTGAGGTAATAGAGTCAGTTATTTCTGTCATTTTTTCCAAATAACTGTACCAGTAAGTGGGAGCTAAATTTAATTATTTTAACCGCTTGATGCCAGAAATACATAGCACATTCTGATTTTGAAGAGCTGAAATTTTAAAAGAACACTGACCAACTAAAAATGCCATTATGGTTAATCACTACAAAGATGATGTATTGAAGGACAGCATTAAAAGGGTTAAACTATTACTACCTCTGTCAGTATATTTATGTGAGGCAGCATTCAAAGTTATTCTGGTAATCACAAAAGCCATTCAGTCCATTTGAGAATAGGAACAGTTGTAAAAGAAGATTAAATACTGAAAAAACCACTCCATAAATAAAATTTACTTTCTTCTTTTGAGGGAGCAACTGCTGTTTTCCTTATCTGTGATATCAGTGCGGCATTATTCAGAGAAAGAAGAGTGGTACACAGTAAATACAATGACAAAAAGGTCTGGGAAATACAGGAAATAGGAGTAGGAAATAATGTTAGATTGCTGTGTGACCATTACTTGGAGGATGTACATGCTGTTAACCAGTGGTGCAATTCACTGTATTTATATTGGTAGTTCTATTATATTATAAGTATCTGATTTACATATTTTTATATGCTACTTGCAGCGTCAGAAATGGAATTTAAAAAATCCTTTTTATTTGGTCTGATACCTCCTGTAAAGATTCTCAGTTATCTGTGACAGAAAAATGTTGACTTGAGTCACCAATGCATAACATGCATCAACAATAGAGAGACTTTGATTTGCCTTAAAACATCAGATTCCTTTATTGTTTTGGATGTTTACCTTATTTTTAAGGAAACCAAATTTTGTTAATATCCCAGTACATTCAGCATGGTCCCAGAAACCCCAAAACTTACTGAATTAAAAAAAAAAAATTAAAAAACCATGTCCCATATAGTTCAACATTCAAACGGGTTTTTGAATATTATCTTTAGAATTTGCATCCCATATTCTGTATGATTATTCATGTATTAAATTTTACCAAAAAAATTGCCCGTCATACGAAAAACCAGATCTACATTATTTTAATTAAATAATAATTTAAATATATGTCCTACTATATTACATGCACACACACAGTTATACTGCAGCCTTTTGAAAAGACAATACTTTTTTTCATGAGAGTTATCTTTTTGTCAAATTAGGATATGGCTCCCTAAACAGTTTCATTTAAAAAGTTATCTGAAAAGGGTTGTTGTGCTGTATAAGAGACTGCTGAGAATTCAGCAGTTGTTTCTGTTTTCAAGGTTGACCAGTGAAAAAAACCACCTTATTAACACTTACAAAATCTTTTCTTGTTCACTGGAAGAAACATGCTACTGTGAGCCTTGTACAAAGAATTTATGCATGTCTGTGTTTGGGAAGAACAGAAAGTATCAGAGGCAGAAACAGTAAACAGAGGTGTTTCTGGAAAATACCTGGTGAAAATACTTTGTAGTGATCAACTGAGGTATTGAAAACAAAATTCATAGTCTTAAGAATACATGATTAACAATATTACCCATAATTCTGGAATAATACCAATTTTCTTCATTGAAAAATATAAATAAAATAAAATCCATTTTTATAGATATATATTATTTAATCGGTGTTAATGTGATGTGCTAATTTAAAAAAGAGCTTTTTGTATTAAATTCCAATGGAGATCAAGATCCCTGCTGTAAACATTTAAGAGATATTATACCCTTAGACAGAGTCCTCCAAAGAGCTTCTGGTGGAAATAAAATGTCCCCAGAGTTTTGTGACATTATGGCAACAGCCTTTCAGATCCCTCAGGGCATCATATAGCCAGTACTCTGCTTTTGTGTAAAGAGATCTTAATAAAATTCAAACAGCGTGAAATGGAAAGCCTGGAAAAAAGGATGGGGTTTCAGAAACTGCAGGAAAATATGATCTTTTTGTTGGTTTCAGAGGCTGAAAAATCCTACAGTGATAAAAACAAGGAAGTGGGGAAAAAACAGGCAATGGGGCATGATTAACATTGATGGACTTAGCTGCCTGTTTTCACCACGCAAACCCCAACCACCCCACTGCCCACCAGAGCAGGATCTGTCCCTGGCTGGAGGCACTGGTGCGGGTGCCACGGCCCCTCACCCCCTGCACAGGACACTGCCCTGCCTCCAGCCTCAGCTGTGGTGCACATGTCCCGCCAGGGATGGATAGCCATTGCCACCAGCCTCCCCATGAGGGTTTTCCTGGCTAATGATGGATGGTGTGCACACAGCTGCTCAAAATTGGAGGTGAAGGAGAATTGTGGGCATCATTTTTTAAAGTGCTGAGTTCCCCTAGCTTGACTTGAAATTTAACAGGACTTAACGCCCCAAAGAATTAAGTGGTTGTTACTTGGCACATCTGAACAAAGTGAAAGCAGCAAAAATTGTTAGCATAAAACTTTCTTTCTTCCATTTAAACTTCTTATGAATAATCTGTCTCCCAAGGAGATGAATCCCTTTGCCACAGTAAGGTTTGTTTTCCTGTTTGTCTCCTCAGAGCATTGTTCCATTACTTTGAAGTAAAGTGAAAATCTGAGTTTAAACCTTCTAGTCTAGTCTAGTCCAGTCTAGTCCCATCTATTTTTCTGTTCTATTCTATTCTAGTTATAAACCAAGATGAGTAGCCTCATGAGGGTTAGGTTCAGTCTTTCTAGAAGAAGGAAACATAGACTAAAATAGAGGTGCTCCTAAGAATGATAAAGATGGGGACAGGGAAAGGGTGCTCTCCGAAGCTTAAGGGTTTTGCCATAAAAGAAAAACCTTTACCTGTCTGGCCAACAAGAAGAGACAAGCCCATAAGCCGAAACAAAACTTGTCTTGTTCTATTTATAGTCCAAACAAAGTCAGTAGGACAAAAAGCTATTATCTCTATGGCCCTTCTAGATGTCAGATAACGGTCCTTATAAAGCTCCAACTTAGGAGGTTTAGCATTGCTAATGTCTTGTTAATTTCTCTATGTTCAAAGCATACATGGTTGCCAATATAACATGCCCTAAAATCACTTTTGAGAAAAGGCAGCACAAAGGTCAGGGCCTCTTTTTTCCTGGTACTGTTGCAGTTAAGCAATACAGTCCTACCAACTTGGTATGACCTACACTGTCAGAAAAATGTCACTGATTTTGTATACTTCATTTTTTTATGAGATACTTGCAGTCTGTGGGTGCTTGAAAAATGCCGATCTATTTCTGTGTTTTTCAACTTTGAAACAGAGATGTCATTAACCTATGCTTTCAGATATTTAAGGATTCAATGCATTAAAATGTATGAAGTGCTTTTATTGAAATAGGAAAGCGCATTTTTTCATATATTATTACAGAATGATATAACTGGACAGACAGTGACACCATTAGATAAACAGTTCTGCAAATAGTTGCAATTTTAAAAATTCTTTAAACACTGCAGCAGCTTTTCACAAGTATCACCATTAGCATATCTGGCTCAAGAACCAGGAGAGAGAATAGAGAGGAATGTGGGAGCTCAGCTTTTGGCCTAGGACAAACTGGATTCAGAGATCAGCAGTGAAAGTTCTTGCTTTCATTGAAGGTAGAATTTCTGTTCAAGTCTAAGAGATTTTCCCACCACTATTGCCAGACATTTTTCAATATGTCCTAAATTCATACAATGGTTCCCCACCACCTTTGCTCACTATGTAATTTTTGCCTTTTAGATAAGAATCAATACTGTATATTGACCATGTAGAATTTCCTTCAAAAAGGAAACTTCATTGACCTGACCACCATTTATAAAAAGTACTTTTTCCCAGATAGAAGTTCATGCTGTCATGTCACCAGTGAAATATCTTAGAAGTTTAATAGTGCAGTATTCAGCAACTGCATGAGAAGACAAGAATTTGACATTTCAGCTTCACTATTTCCATTAGAGGTAAAATCTATTTTCACAAAAATGAAGGTTGAATGAAAACTGAAATGCCCAGAAAAATTATAGCCTTGTTTTAAAATAAAACTTACAATTGTAAGTAGAAAAAACTTTAGCTCTTCATATATCCTCATTTATTTTTAATGAGTTTTAATGATTTCTTTATATCAACAAATAATATAGGATTAAAGAAATAATGGCAGATTTTTATACTCAAAAGTGTATCAATCTACATACAAATAACTAAAAAGAGGTAATAATCCTCAAATAGAAACTGAAAATACATAATAAAAAAGCTTACTATTAATAACTAATTGTTACTAATAACTATAAATATTAATAACTAATAGGTAATAAATAACTATCTTACTTTAGCATTTCCAGTTTTTGAAATAGAAACAGACTTAAAGTTCTTAAATGAGAACACATCATGAGTACATAATGTCCAGTACTAAACTGGATGTAATTGTTGTTGAGTACTCCACAGCTAGAGTTTGAAAAACGGTTTCATTAAAAGAGTGGAGCTGTTTACTCAGACACTTCAAGGCCCAAAAATTAAGTTAATAAAATCACAGAATCACAGAATTCTTAGAATTGGAAGGGACCTCTGGAAATCATCTAGACCAATTCACCCTTCCAAGGCAGGGTCACCAAGAGCCGGTAACACAGGAACTTGTGCTGTTGAGTTTTGAATGTCTCCAGAGAGAGAAACTCCATGACCTCCCTGGGCAGCCCTTTCCAGTTTTCTGCCACCCTCAATGTGAAGTTCTTCATGCTGAGGTGAAACTTCCTGTGTTTCAGTTTATGGCCATTTTCT